ACACATCAAGTAACAGAGAGACGGACAGACAGACAGACAGACAGATAGACAGACAGACAGATAGACAGACAGACAGATAGGCATGCAGGCAGGCAGACAGACTCTATTAGGCCTTAAATTTAGATTTTCGAAAGCACCGAAGGATAATAATGACAGCCAGTTGCCGTTGCACATAGAGATATGTTTTTGCTAACTTAAACTCGCGAAAAAGATCGTAGTTCAGATTGTAACTGATCAATCATTACGCTGATGTGGCTCTTTCCGTCCCCGCCTGGTAAATAATTTCATCTAACCGTTCCCCATGCCTTCCAGTGTACGGTATCGTATCTACGAGGCTTTAACCGAGACAACCACAGTGTCTGGCACTCCAATTCGTTCGATTGAGAAATGTGACTGTACAAACACGGCTTCCGGTGATCACTGTGAGGTGCGTTACGCAATTGTCTTTTCCTGTCCGTAAACTCAGCTGGTGATATATATATATATATCAAATTTTCGCTGCTTAATTCATATTAGGAATTCAAATAAAACAATGACCAGACACAAGATTACGGGATAAGTATACCGGATGAGCGGTAAGGACTGTGAACTCAGTCGTGTGCTTCTCGAAAATCTTGTCTAGCCATTCATGTACCACTTTTATAATTATTATTGCAAAAACACTGAAAATAGTAGCCGGGGTGATTAGGGTGGGACATATCTAACCCACAAAACCTAACACAGAATCATGGCAATGAATCCTCGAGGCTTGTTTGCTTCAAAATCAAATCCCTGAGATGCAGATGAGTTCAGCATAAAGTAGTATATACATTTCCTCATAAGCAGTAGGACTCGACAAAATTTCACCGGAAGCACAAGACCGGTTTCGCAGGTTTTGCCGCTCGTCAGAAAATGTAAATGAGGTTATTATGGTGAATATATATATATTGAAATGGAGAAGGTTAGCTGTGGTTGATCGTCCCTAATATACCGTCTCAGATCCGAGTAGAACTCACTGGCAAACAGTTGAATACGTCAGGTTTCTTCGTTAGCCAATTCCTGGTATGTAATGATCCATGAAAAGCTTTAGAGTGGCTTATTTTGTGGTATACTCTACCATGCCATGTTATCGACAACATTAGTAATTTAGCAGATAAACAGTTCCACCTTTTCTATGTATTGTTAGACCTGAGATACGATGAAGGATTGCAAGAAAGACAGTGAGAGAGAGGGAGTTGAACAGATCCTGAAGAAACGGGAGAAAAGCAATCATTAAACGTTGTCCTAATATGACCTGTCACCAACTCACATCATTGCAATGGTGTAGCCGATGCCTGAAATCTTATCTGTCTCTCGGACATATCAGACCATGAAGAGGTGAACATGGCAAGCACTGTGCGTTTCTAGTTTCAGCTTGACAGCATGACATAAATCACTGACAGAGTATAATGCCAAACAAGTTTCAAGTCGATCTATAGCTCTCGTCATTCTCTTTCCCAGTCAGCGGGGGGGGGAGAGGCTTGTACTGTTTGATTCTCTGAGAAAACTATTTAATCTTCATACGCATCTGGATAGTGAAACATCAAGCATAAGCATAGAAAAACATGAACAGAATGGTGTAAGTGATGATCATAATTTCGTCCTCCAGATTCGAATAGCGTACAAATCGGTGAACAAAGTGAAATCTTTCAACTGACATTCATTTTCTCGCACATTTCAACACATTTTCTAGTAGGTAATCAACTCACATTGGTTTTGATAGTGCTTAATGAATAAAAATTTCATGTCTACTTTCCTTGCTTCCCTTCGACATCCTAGATCGCCTCACCCGGTTTCTATTTTCCTCAACTGATTCCCAAACCGGGACCGAGTATTGTGCCCCCGGCCCCCGGGGCTGAGCCGCCCAAATGGCCGGAGAATATTATTTGGACCGGTGGTGTGGAGAAATGTCGTTGCAACGGGATGTCATCTCATTGTGATCCGGTCACCGGAGTGTGTGAGTCGTGCACGGGAAACACAATGGGTCCAGATTGTGGTCAATGTGCTACCGGTTATATGGGTGATCCGAAACAGGGCTTGCCTTGTGTGAAATGTCACTGCCCGACGGAACAGACTGAGTAGGTTCACGTGTGTCTGTATGTGTATTGTGTCCATTCTGAATCGTCTTCCAAAGATTCCAAGCATTCCAGTACACAGTACAATAATTAAATGTTTATTACAACACTCACACTGAAGAATTTCCATAATAGGTATCAAGGATCCTGACTGCCATGTGTATGCCCTAGCCTAGTTTGGTTGCAAGCGGTGAGTTATTGGCTTGATTGTCATTAGCGTTTCACCACCACCAACAACAACAAAAGCAACAAGCAACAGGATGTACAACCCATTGCGTTATTCATTTCAAACCAGTGGAAATGAGAGCAACTGGCCTGAAACTTGTCATGTGTGGGCTTGGGGTTGTTCTTTTGATGATGGGTGTAATTTGCACCGGGCACCAGCAGTCCGGAATAGTTCAGAGTTCCATTGAAAGATAAGCTTTGGACTAGGGATAATCTGAACCAAATGCAGTTGACACTTTAAAAGATTCGGACTAAAATAGGATGTTTGGAGAACTGGAGTTCATGTCGTTGGTACGTCTTGTCAGAAGACGAAGAATGTATAGATACCGCGTTCAGTGTCCGCCGGAGAACGGAGAATCGTTTTCTTAGGCCCACAAAGTAGTTCGATACCACAAAACCCAGATTGACAGTCAAGTGTTCCAAAAGATTAGCTTTTACTTGGGGAAACCAAACGTCTTATTTCACTCTTGATCGAAAACGATTGTCTTTGTTTTTGTAACCTTCCTGTCAGATCTTAATGCACTTTTCCTTTCAGAACAAAGACCTATGATTAAAGATGTGATGGATCGATATTATGATAAGGAATCAAAGCGATATCAAGACAACGCATGGTTTCAAATGTCAAATACCCAAAATGTCATATTGGACAGCCGAGGTCGGCTACTACGTTTAGAGACTTTCTGGGTAGTGTAATATTGCCCACCGGGGGATTGCCCACGGAATCTGACGTGTTTTCGTCACATAGAAGAAAAATGTCCAAAATGCGAGCAAATCTTAGATTGAGCCAGAATAAGTTAGTGAGCCCCGGAGGGGAAAATGACATATTTGACAGAAAGTGTATTATCATGATTTGTGACTATGTACGCAGAGGAAAGGGTCATTTAGTAGGTGATAGGATAATGTCACTGAGATTTAGGCAGAATTCATGAAAGATTCCCTTAAGAATATCAAAAGGCAAACAATATAGCGAACAAGCGTAACTTCGTAACTTCGTCGTCAGGCATTTACAGTTATACGGGTGTTTATATCTAATGTAGAAATAAATGTGATTGATCCATTGAGGTTAATTGGGAAAATACCACAATGTCTGTCAAGTTTAATCAGAGCGAGTGAAGAAAATGTGAGCAATGGGCGAAGGAGGACCAAGGTCAATTCCAGTAATTTCCAATGACCTTTTTCTTGTGCAATTTGTCACGCCATCTTGCGTCATCACGACATGACTGAGGTCATGGTTCGGAACCTCAGGTAGATTTGCTTGGGGTCAAGGGAACTGAAGTATGGCAACCATTTGCTACTGCATTCACAGTGGTGGGTTCATGATTTTTCATTGCTACAACTTCTGCCGTTGCAAAGTGACGTTTCCAAACGTACTTCGATTATTTTCGGCCGGAGGGGGGGGGCCTGGTGGGCATTAATCGCACTGGTTATTGTTTCCTTGTCGAATTAAGGACACGAGAGCGGGAGTAGTCTGATCAAAGTCAGACACAGGCTGACTACAATAGATGGGGACCATAACCGGCCAAATAATTATCATAATAAACGTCGACATTATATATACTGGAAAGTAATGTGTAAATTATTGACAGTGATAAAAGGAAAACGGGAACATTTTTGGGGTGGCCGACGACAGTGCGGCACACAGTGTGAATATGTGAAAAGTATTTCATACTTTTTGTAACACTTGGAGTTGGTACGCGCAATCACACTGTCTACCAAATTCCTCCTGTACCATTCTCTATCGTGTCTACAGCAGACGAACTTATTCAGTTGGGCCACGGAATAATCCACATCATTACGGCGACATGACTCCGGGAGACAGGGCACTGGATGCACGAAATTCTTTAAACTGGAGTAACGAAGATTATTTGGGAAGCAAAAGAGAGTAAAATAAAAGATTTCATGCAACCAGTTCCTTTTACCATTTTCATGAGAGCAAGAAGAAGCATCATTATCACAATGTACTTGCGGTAGCAAGTATGTGGGAAGAACTGAGAGACGATTGTCTACCATGGTAGCAGAGGATGCACCAAAACATTTGGCGTCTAACAGGTCCAAGCTTCCGTCCAATTCAATCACCCGACACATACTGGATCGCAAAGAATGCGACAAACCTAGGGACACTTTATGTCTCTTGATCCGCCAGAAAAGTAACTGTCTGCTACGGTTCGCTGAAAAGGCTATCATTCGACGTTTCAAGCCCGATTTAAGTAAACAGACCGAATTTATGGCTAGCCTCGCGCTGCCCCCTGGTAGGTGTCACTGTCCTCCTTCCTCAACCCTCCCTCCCCCACCCTGCAGTGATTTCGCACCCTGCCCCTATGCCCAATCCGGTTCACATTAGTGACCTGCGTAATCAATTGATTTCTCTTCCCCATGTGTGTTCGCCTGTCCCTAAATCTGCCACTCTTTTAACCAAACGTGATCTAAATTTAGGT